CAAAGATTTCGGCTTACTTGAAGAACCATTCGAATGAACAATTTTTATCAATATGGAGAAGATGGATTGTTTATATTCAAAAGAAACATAGAGTGGTAGAATATAATTTAGGTTTCTAGATTTTTTTAAGTTTGTTTACTTCTATCTTTTCTTGTAGATTAAGATATTTTGTGGAGTTAGAGATATTAGTATTTGTTTAATTTGTTTACTTTTATATGAATATTATCCTGGGATTAGGTTTGGGAAGTCCTGGGGAGGGGGTTATTGATTGGTTATTGTGTTTACTTATGATTGTTTTTTATGATGGAAAAAATAAATAAAATTTCTTAAAAAAAAAAAAATACTTCATTAGGATCACTCCGAGTAAATTCTGTGTGGCTTACTCCCTCATGCCAGCCCCCTCTGTTTAGTTTTCATTTGGGGGGGTGAACTCTTTGGGTAAACTCCCCCAAACAGGTGAAGGGTCTTAGATGAACGCAGCCCATGGAAGGAATCCTGTTGTTCATTTCCAGCTGTGTCCAACGATCCTCATTCTGCATCTTTGCACAAGGGTGCAAACTGGGGAAACCCCAGGTCACTCATAGCATGTGTGCCAAGTGGCTTTTGGGGAGAGTTCACTGGAGGAACACAGCTGTAGTAAACTTTCCACCTCACTGAAAGGAACCCATAAGCATCTCCAGAAGTGTCTTTCCTAGCTGAAGATTATTTTATTCATGCAAAGCATTATTTAATTATTCCAGATGGCCTTGGGGAATGGCCGGTGGCTCACTACTGCTTCTGAAGCTTCTTATTCATGCTGTGGTTTGAAACCAGTGGCTACTCCTGAAGTCTACTGCACTCCATCCTTGTCCTCCACAGTTTGATGGACCTCATGGAAGGGGGCAATCAGACCCTGCAGGTGACTGAATTCTTGTTCCTGGGTTTCTCTGGCATGCCCAGAGGTCAACCTTTCTTCTTTCTGCTCTTCCTGGCCATCTACCTCATCACCTTGGTAGCCAACTCAATGATTCTCATCTTGATCCAGCTGGATTCGTGCCTCCACAGCCCGATGTACTATTTCCTCAGTCATTTGTCCTGCTTAGACATCTGCTATTCCTCTGTCACAATCCCAAAGATCCTGGTGAACCTCTTGCGCCAGCAACCCACCATCTCCTACAATGAGTGCATGGCCCAGATGTTCTTCCTCATGACATGTGCTGGATCTGAGTGCGCCATGCTGGCTGTGATGGCCTATGACCGCTATGCGGCCATCTGTGAACCTTTGCACTATTCTCAACTCATGAGTAAGGAGGTGCGAGTCCCTCTGGCTACGGTTTCATGGGTCTGGGGCCTTCTCGACTCAGCCATTCACACTGCCCTGGCCACCAATTTGGTCTTCTGTGGACCCAAAGAGATCCATCACATCTTCTGCGATGTCCCCCCGCTCTTGAAAATTGCTTGCAGCGACACTTATGTCAATGAGATGGCTCTTCACACAGCAAGTGTCTTTGTGGGTCTGATCCCTTTCCTCCTGGTTGTCATTTCCTACATCTACATCCTATCTACAATTCTGAAGATCCGTTCTAGCACTGGAAGGAGAAAGACCTTCTCCACCTGTGCTGCCCACTTGGTTACCGTCATTGTCTACTTTGGCATGGCCAACTTGAATTACAACCGTCCGAGTGTGGGCTACTCTTTAGGGGTGGACACCCTGGTCTCCACCCTGTATTGTATCATCACCCCCATGCTGAACCCCCTAATCTACAGCCTCCGAAACAAGGAGGTCAAAGGGGCCCTACGAAAGCTTCTGAGCATTCAGGAGAAGGACGATGCATCTCCTGGAAAGCAATGAAGGAAAAACTAGATCTTCTTCCTAACCCTCTCTGCTTATCCTTGTCTGTAAAGTAGCAACAGTTGGAGGGGAAGTATACAGGGAAAAGAAGACCGGGAGATTCTAGGGAGATCCACTGGTTAATTGTTCTCACTCAACAAATCTTTCCAATTTTTGTGCATAGAATAATCTCACTGCAGTTATCATGTACAAAAAAAACAATTTCTGTAATTTTTTCCCAATTGTTTGTCCATCAAACCTCTGGGCTCAATTGTATATTAATATTAATCTTTAAAATCCTCTGAATTCCTATGCTGATATATCACCACCATCATTTTATTAAAAAAAACATTTTAAAGTTTATAACGTAGCATAAATTTCAATCCTTCAATCCAGCTATTTTCTCATTGTTTCATCCGTATCTTACAACCAACTTTTTTAACCTCACATTGTTTCGCTTGTTCTTCTGTTTCAAATTTCAGATGAAAAAGTTTAGACTTTTTAATCAATTGCACTTTCATCATTTGTACCCAATTCTGTTTCAAACTTAGTCAAAACTGTGGATTATTTTGTCTAGTTTAAATCTTTCTAATAATTACTGTATAAATTAAAAAAACACTGACAACTATATGGATTTTATTTTACATTGCCCTTGACAAAATTTTGGTGATGTTAGCCATTTGAGTTGGCCCATTATTTCTCCTCTACAAAATGCTTATCTAAATAAAATAAAATCTTTGAAATTCTTTGTACCACAGTGTTTATTTGAGCCCAAAATCTTTCCATCAAACTGTCATCCAGACATTCCTTCAGTATGATTTGCACTAACCCTAACCCCGCTGTCACCCACCCTGGAGAGTCAGCAGTGTAATTGTGTTGAACATCATTGAGCAGAGAAGAGCTTGTAATGGTTGACATTCCCATAATGGCAAATAAGTGATTCCTCACCCCTGGGCACATCTGGATTATGTAGAACATAGAATCATAGGGCTGGAAATGACCTCAGAGGTCTTCTAGTCCAACCCCTGCTCAAGGCAGGAGACCCTATGACATTCTGGACAAATAGTTGTCCAATCTTTTCTTGAAAACCAGCAGTGATTGAGCACTCACAATGCTGGGAGGAAAGCTGATCTGTCTGTCATCCATCCATCCAACCATCCATCTATCCATCTATCCATCTATCCATCTATCTATCTATCTATCTATCTATCTATCTATCTATCTATCTATCTATCTATCTATCTATCTATCTATCTATCTATCTATCTATCTATCTATCTATCTATCTATTCATCTATCTATCTATCATCCATCTCTATCTATCTATCTATCTATCTATCTATCTATCTATCTATCTATCTATCTATCTATCTATCTATCTATCTATCTATCATCTATCTATCTATCTATCTCAGGGTTCTTCAAACTTGGCCCTTTTATGACTTCAACTCCCAGAATGTCTCAGCCAGGCACCCTGGCTGAGGAATTCTGGGAGTTGAAGTCCACAAGTCATAAAAGGGCCAAGTCTGAAGAACCCTGATCTATCTATCTATCTATCTATCTATCTATCTATCTATCTATCTATCTATCTATCTATCTATCTACCTCTATTATCAATCTATTTATCTACTCCATCTCTCTCATCTATCTATCTATCTATCTATCTATCTATCTATCTATCTATCTATCTATCTATCATCTATCTATCTATCTCTATTATCAATCTATCTATTCCATCTCTCTATCTCTCTATCTATCTATCTATCTATCTATCTATCTATCTATCTATCTATCTATCTATCTCTATCTATCTATCTATCTATCTATCTATCTATCTATCTATCTATCTATCTATCTATCTATCATCTACCTACCTATCTACCAACTCTGTCTGTCTGTCTACCTACCTACCTACCTATCATCTATCTATCTATCTATCTATCTATCTATCTATCTATCTATCTATCTATCTATCTTATTTACCTACCCCTGTTCTAGGAAAAGTGCAGAGAAGAGCAACAAGGATGATTAGGGAACAGGAAGCTAAAACATATGAAGAACGGTTGCAGGAATTGGGGATGTCTAGTTTAATGAAGAGAAGGACATGATAGCAGTCTTCCAATATCTCAGGGGCTGCCCCAAAGAAGAGGGAGTCAAGCTATTTTCCAAAGCACCAGAGGGCAGGACAAGAAGCAATGGATGGGAACTGATCAAGGAGAGAAGCAACCTGGAATTAAAGAGAAATTACCTAACAGTGAGAACAATTAATCAGTGGAACAACCTGCCTCCAGAAGTTGTGGGTGCTCCGACACTGGAGGCTTTCAAGACTAGATTGGACAACCATTTGTCTAAAATGGTATAGGATTTTCTGCCGGACCAGGGAGTTGGACTAGAAGACCTCCAAGGTCCCTTCCAACTCTGTTATTGCATTATTTTTTAAGAAGAAATTGGATAACCAGCAGTCTGAAGTGGTATAATGTTTCGTGCCTGAGCAGTGGGTTGGACTAGAAGATCTCCAAGGTCCCTTCCTACTCTGTTATGCTGTTATGTGTGGATCTTGGCCTACTTTCCCAGCTCCCAGCCTTTATTCAAAAGTTCCAAAATTTCCATCAAGGGACTCCCAAATGGGAAGCATGTAGAAGCTTTGTTTTTCTCCTTTCTGATGCAAGCCATCTCCAGGGACCTGCTAGATGCGATATAAACTATGTCTCTTTTTTCACCAGCAGCAACAGCACTGAGATTTATCTCCCACCCTATAGCTGTTTACAGCACTCTCTGGGGAGTTTACGATGTAGAAGCGTTACTAGCACATTGCCCCCAACAATCAGGGTCCTTTGACCATCTTCGGAAGAATGGAAGGCTGAGTAAACCTCAGGACTGAACTCCTGGCAGTGGGCAGAGTCAGCCTGCAGTTTTGCCTTTTAACACTGCACCAACCTGGGGATCTTGCAAGCAGTATTAAAAGGAGAAAGGGAAGAATTTCACCCCTGCCAGCCTCATCCAGGAGACTCTGACCAGGTGAGGAACACAAAGGGGCAAAAGGACTTCCAATCCAGCAAGAGGGAGGGTGTGGTGGGAGATGAATGCACCCACGAACCATTTCAGATGGACCCCAACACCACCAGCCCTGGTTAGGAAGACGCCTAAATTGCATGTGGCTTGAGAGAAGAAGCTCACTTTTTTTGTCATGCCTGGTGGAGCAAAACTTTCTCTCCCCAGGTTCTTCCCTTCCCCGTCCCCCCAAAAAGAGAAAAGGTCCTGTCAGAAGAATAATTCGGGGTTCCAACTCTTAATCTAACCATCAACACTGTTGGAAGAAAAACAGGGATGTAGTGCTGGATGGCAAGCTTCAGCTATGCAGTCCTACTGTAAGGACCCACCCCACTTTGCATCTTAAGAAGACAGAACTCCTGGAATATTTCTTCCAATAGGCATATTTATTAAGAGAAAGCTGGATGTAGGCGTTCTAGACAGGACTTGGGTTCGAGCTCTCCACTTCAAGGTTTTAAGGGATCCCCCATTAGTCACACCCCCGTAACCCCCTTTTCCCAGCGACAATTCTAGGCCTTACATTCTCACCCCCTTTTCCTCATTGCCGGGAGGAAACTGCAAAAAGGATTACATGAAAGCTAATGACCCCCATTGTTATTGTTAGTCCATTTGGTGATATCCACATCCAGTCTCTTTGAAGTAGGCTGAAGGAAGTGAGGGC